AAGAGGAAATTTGGTTATGGCATCGGCGTATGGGACATGCTTCCTTTAGATATCTAAAAAAGTTGTTTCCTAGTTTATTTACAAAATTTGATGTTTCTAGTTTTCGGTGTGATGTTTGTGAACTGGCAAAAAGTCATCGTGCTTCATTTCCCTTACGTTTAAATAAAAGTCCACTTCCTTTTATGATTATACATTCTGATGTTTGGGGTCTGTCTAAAGTCACTACTTTGGGAGGATCACGTTGGTTTGTAACGTTCATTGATGATTGTACCAGGATGACATGGTTGTGCTTGATGAAATCCAAAGGGGAAGTGAACTTATTATTTCAAAAGTTTCATAAAATGGTTGAAACTCAGTACAACGCAAACATGTTCTAACACACCTCAACAGAATGGGATTGCTGAGAGGAAAAATCGACACTTATTAGAAGTTGTTCGAGCTTCATTGATAGACGCCCATATGCCATTATCCTACTGGGGAGAAGCGCTTACTTCAGCAGCCTATTTAATCAATCGGGTACCCTCTAGCATTATTGATTTCCGGACACCGTTCTAAACTCTCACAGAAGCAGTTGTTGCCCCAGCCGTACCAAATTTACCTCCTCATGTTTTTGGCTGTGTAGTATTTGTACACCTCCATAAGCATCAACGCAACAAGTTAACTCCTCGAGCGCCGCGATGTGTTTTTGTTGGGTATGTTGCTCATAAAAAGGGATATCAGTGTTATTATCCTCCCACACGTCGAATGTTTATTACAATGGATGTTATTTTTCATGAAGACACAATGTATTTTTCTGAGCCTGAACTTCAGGGGGAGTACCAGAAGGAAATTCAGACTCTAGATTACGACTTTTTAGAGTATGATTATCCCACTTCTGATAAAGCTGAATCAAAAAGTCTGGTAACCAGGATGTGAGCAACTTAGATATAAGTGGTATAACAATGGATTATAGTGGTGACAACTCACAAGCTGGACCAGTGAACCATGAGATGGGTGAATTGGATTTAAGTGGTATAACGTTGGATCAAAGTGGTGATGAACACCCAGTAACACAAGCAGCAAGTTTGCCTGAATATGAGATTCTCGTTCGACAAACTGAAGATGTGGAGCTGCCTTTGTCCGACGTATCATACCAATCACTTCCTGAAGGTGTTCTTGAGCCATACAAACGACAGTTACCACAGCGTCACACCAGAGGTATCCCTAGACCCACATATGAACCTAAGCTATCTAGTAAAGTCAAATATCGATCCCATGAGTCATTACATATCTAACCACCGTTTGTCAGAATCAAATATGTCATTTGTTAATCAATTGTCTAGTGTATCTATTCCTAACAGTGTACAGGAAGCTTTAGCCAACCCCAGGTGGAAAGCAACTATGAATGAAGAGATGAAATCCCTACAAAAGAATGAAACTTGGGAGCTTGTTGATCCTCCACCAGGAAAGAAAACAGTTGGATGTCGGTGGATTTACACTGTGAAGTACAAAGCTGACGGCACAATTGAATGCTTTAAAGCGTGGCTAGAAGCGAAGGGATACACTCAAACCTATGTGATTGACTACACAGAGACATTCACACATGTAGCCAAAATCAACACTGTTCGTGTTCTGTTGTCTCTAGCTGCAAACTTGGATTGGCCATTACAACAGTTTGATGTGAAGAATGCTTTTCTGCATGGTGAATTATCTGAAGAAGTTTACATGGATCTCCCACCTGGATGCATGAGACA